AGTGTGTCCAAACTGTGGCTGTTGGGTCAGACTCATAACACCTGGAGCACCTTACCTATAAATGGCATAAAACAATAAAGTTTGCACTTTGTGCGGGCTATGGGATGCTCAAACCTTGAAGGAATTTGTATTGAATTCTAAACGTATATGGCTGTGGGAAGGGTGGGAAAAATGGAGGGTGCTGTAAAGAAGCCTTATTTCACATAGGTTTTTTTTTTTTTAACTTTTTGTTTTTGAGGTTGTTTTTTTTTTTTTCTTGAAGAGAGATGATATAGGAAATCGTGGTTTATAAAGAGATTGGATAGCCCATGGGGACACTGGAGACCTGGCTTCCAGATTCCCTTCTCCTACTGAGTCTATGCCCCAGCTGCTTTACATTTTACTATCTCAGGTATCCTTAAGAATAAAGTTAAGTTTGTTGGATCAGATGACACCCTCTGTACCCCCATCCTCATACCCACGTGGGTTGTCTGGTTATGATGCTGTGGGACTTTGACATTTACACAAGGAGAAGTGAGGCAGGGAATGTCAGTGCCTCCTGTTACTGCCAAGGTGCTACTTTGAGACTAGCCTACCTACAACCTTGAGGAACATCTGTCTTCTACAGCAGTAATGAGTTCTACTCGGGGCCCCATTTTCCTCCACCTGCAAGGTCACCATAGCCAAGACTTCCCCAAACACAGTCCCTTTTGACATTTCAATACTTGGGCTCATTAAAGGCAAAGTGGCTGCTTGGTTCAGTGGTGTTCCTCGTGTGGTCCCCAGACCAGCAGCATGTATATCACCTGGAATTGTTAGAAATGCAGATTCAAGGCCCTAACCTAGGCCTATTGAATCATAAGATCTGGCACCAGCCCATAAATCTGTGTTGCAACCAGCTCTCCAGGGGACTGTGATGTTTGCTAAAGTCTGAGAATCACTGGTTTGGAGCATCTTTTTCTCTAAGCAAGTATGGCATAGTAGGTTGCTAATTAACACAGTTTGGCAGGAATTCAACAAATGGGTTCAACTCATGCCCCCAGTTTTCATTAACCCACATGTTCTTTAGTTATTTCTTAGCACTTTTCCCTCAGGTACTAAGGCAGGACTAGGTCTGTGTGCCATCAAGTGATTTTAAAGACCCAATGCACCTAAGACCTGGGTAAGAGTCTGTCCTACTAAAACCTAATGTGGTAGCTGCTTCATATGGGAGTCCACAGGACAAGGTGTTGGCTTCTGATTTTGATGTTATTAGCTGACTGACTGAATACAATTAGAAGAAACCTAATGCAGCATTGCCACACATTTCTGCCAGCCCAGTACACAGAAAGTGGTCAAGTCTAAAATCTCCTGGTGGTTAAATGACTACGTATCAACGAAACAGAACCATATCAGGACAAAGGCACTGAAGTGGTTGTCTGGGGCCAGAGTCAGGTGTCACTTTCACAACGAACTGGTTGTATGATTCTGAGTGACTCCCTTCACCCGAAAGGCCCTTGGTGCCCTTGCCCTCGCCTATAACACGGAAATTGAACACGATCTCTGGAGCCTCTTTCATCTCCTTTTTGTTTAATAATGGTGCCCTGCAGTCTTAAAGAGTTTAGAACTAAGAATGATGACCAGTGATCTCATAATGGAAAGAGAGAGGGGCACCTGGGTGGCTCCATTGATTAAGCATCTGACTCTTGGTTTCAACCCAGATCATGGTCTCGGGGTAGTGAAGAACAAGCCCCACGTCTAACTCCGAGCTCAGCATGGAATCTGCTTGTGATCCTTCCTTTCTCCCCCCTCCTCACTCTCTCTAAAATAAACATATAAAATCTTTAAAAAAAATGTCAAGAGAGAGTTAGCAGAGGTTGAAAAGCGATGTAATAGTAATGTACTTCTTTAAGGACCTTCCTAAGCCATGGGAGGTTCAGGCTGCATCCGTGGTTCTGCATTCTGAATTCGACCCAGGTAGGCTTGCCCCTCAGTCTAGATGCTAGAAAGATTTGTCTTATTTCATCATCTTGGAGATGTTCTCGTTCTGGAGGGGGTCACTGGCCTCTTCTGGAAGAAGACTGATCTTGAAATGCAGACCTCTGCCTATCTGATTCTGAAAGTTATAGCTTGAACCAATTAAAGTGGCTTCCCATGTTCCTCTCAACCTCACCTCGAGGAACAGGTTTTCCCTCTTTGTTAGCTAGACCTTCCTCTTCCTATCACAGTTTCAGGGATTCTGTCCCAAAAGCAGATGTGAAGACCTACTTGTCCACTTCCTTTCCCCTGAGGTTGGGCTTCATAAAGATTTTGCTTGTTAAATGACAGCTTTCAGAGAAGAGGGTTGTCTTTTCTTCTCCTTCTTCTTTTTCCTCAGCCCTTGCATAACTATCCCGGTTTTAACCTTTTGCCAAATTCTACACTTGTCACTGTTGGAGGTTACTCCATGTGTTTGAACAGGTAACTTCTACCTTTGAACCCCTATTGCAACAGGTTCAAAGGTTTCAGGGAGCTTGTTGGTCACTCTCAAGACGAAACGCATTGGCTTCAGATGTGGCCTCATCACAGGAGCTGTGCAAGGGGCAGAGGTGTCTGGATGTGGTGCTGATCCAGTGCAGCCAGCTGTGAGGGGTGCATTTCCTGGGCCCAGGAAGGGAGCGTACTCTTGCAAGGTAAGCTGCAGCATGGCTCCCTACTCTATACATCTAGGGACAGTAAGGACAGGGACAGGTGGGAAATGCATGTCTCTCCTCGGTCTAAGGGCTCTTTTCTGACGTGAAATCACAGTTGTTTAAATAGCAGTCTCAGCTGACTTGTGCAGAGGCGAAACAGAAACCAGTTGGAAAAGAAGTAGAGGCATCGAGGCTGTATGAATGCTGGCAGGAGGGAGATTTGGGAGAGAAAGTCGTTAATTTCACTAAATGGAACTACACTAGGGGTAAAAGTCTTAAGGGTTATAGACAGAGCCAAGCTGTGTTTCTCCATCTTCCATTCAAAAATTTGCCTGTCAGGTTGGTTACAAAGGCTATTTGCCAGCTTCTGATGACAGGCGAATCCTAATTGGAAGGGACTAGGGGAAGAGAATCCTTAGCAGACACTGTCTTGGGTGCTGGAGTCTGTGCTAGGTGTGTGGCATGTGTTACCTCCTCCACGCACCACCTTCTATGAGGCAGGTGGGATTGCTCCCATTCCACAGCTGAATGAAGTGTCTCTGGGCTGTTAAACAGCCCGGCCCCAGGCGACCTACCCAAGAGGAGGTGCGGCTAGGATTACAGTCCTGATTCGTCTGTCACTCCAGGCTGCTGCTGCAGAATGCAGAATTCTGCTGGGTTATCGAAACCTTCCATTATTTCCTGGAATCTTGAGTGTGCCTCGTGTGCACAGAGGATTGAGTAGGAATGCAACTCCGTAGCCTGTTTGAAAGACCGAGGCAATTCTGAACTTGAGTGTCCGATCCTGGAGGAAAATAGTAAAATGGGAGTAAAGCTCATCTGGCCCTGAGCGCTTCATCCAGCTGGTAAAAGAAGCTAGCACTCGGGGTGTTTAGGGTAGCTGAGACTGGACCCCTGTTTGGTCATCCTATGCTCTCTGCTGGAGGGAGCTGCTTCTAGAAGGAAGAGCTCCCGTCACTAAGCAAAGCCAAGGGCCCCTCCAGCTGCGAGATGAGCCAGGGCAGCCCACCTCCTCTTCTCTGAGTCTTTCTTCCATGTCTAAAGGGGACTCCTGAGTGAGGCCAAGGGATCAGCTCCCATTGTCTGAGATTGCAATGTAGCTCATACTGGCATTTTGTTTCATTTTAGTTTGGAGGCTTTAGGATCTCCTCTTTGTAGAGAAGACGAATCCTAACCTAGCTCTGGTAAAGGGCCAGGTTCATATTGAACTTAACATAAGCCTTCTTGAAAGAACTAAGGCCAGAGAAAGTGTTACTTAATTCTGGGGTGTCAAGGGGAGGGGTAGGAGGGAGCAGGAGAACTTATGATTTCTGCCTCTAAGTCTAAGAATGGAAGCTCTCATGCCCTTTGTGGCCCCAGCCTTAGGGGAGTCCAGTGAGACTACTACAGGTCCTGTTGTCCTCTAGACCAATCTCTGGGACCCTTCCAGACGGTCTACACATTCAGAACAATTTTTATAATAACACTAAGACGGGATTTGCCTTTTCATGTTGCTGACTCACGTGTGTCCAGTGGGGTTTCCAGAAGCTGCAAGATGCAGGATCAATCTGACAGCTAATGGCATATATGCTTGTTGTATTCCCGTGGTTTAAAACATTCCCAGTTTTATTTTTATTTATTTATTTTTAAGGATTTTATTTCTTTAGTCACAAGAGACACAGAAAGAGGCACAGAGACATAGACAGAGGGAGAAGTAGGCTCCCTGCGGGGAGCCCGATGTGGGACTAGATCCCAGGATCCCGATCACACCCTGAGCCAAACGCTGACACTCAACCACTGAGCCACCCAGGTGTCCCTGTTCCCAATTTTAATTTGGGGGAAGTGAGCGGGGGCAGCAGACTGGACTTCTAGTTTAGATTTTGAGGTACAAAAATCTAAGGGCTGATGTGTCAGAGGAAAAGAACAGGCTCTCCATCCGTGTCCCTGTCACTCCTGACTTGCTTGTTTTGTTGGCTGTATCAGAAGTGCTTGGGGACCGAGGCAGGTGGAGAGGGAGCATGGTTTGGAGGAGGGTGACCCTGCCAGTGCTCCACAATCAGGAAGGAAGAGGGACCTGGGGCTGGACCTGTCCTGGGAGCCAATGGGGGAGCCCTGTCCCCTTCCTGGCACTGGTTGTCTGCTGGGGCAGCCTCAAGTCAATTTGGTCTGTTTGATTTTTTTGTCTCGGTTTCGAGGTGGTCAGACACAGGGGCGAAAGGTGAATTGTGTGCTGCAGGCTGGCTTTTGTTTGAGCCCTTAGAGGCTGGGGTTAAGGCTTTGAAAAGGAGCCGGGGCGCCTGGGCGGCTGTTCTCCTCCTGGCCAGAGCAGCTTCCACTTTCATTTGTGAAAGAAAAACCAGGAAGTGAGGTCCCCGAGCACGTTTGAAAGCCCGGCCATGGCCTGACTGGGACAGCTCAGGCAGGGGCACAACCGGGGCGCTCCGAGCCGTGGCCAGCTGCCTGCATGGATGCTCCGGAGCCAGCCTGTCCCTGGACGAACTGGGGCTGAGGGAAGGGCGACAGGGATTCTGTGCCAGGAAGAACCTGGAGCCTGGAAGCCCCATTCGCAGGAAGCGCCAAGAGATGCACCCCCCTCCCAGGGTAAGGGGAACCGTCCTGGGGGGGCACTTAGCAAGGGGTCTTGTGTGCATGGGGCAGAGGCCGACAGGGCACTGTCACCCCTGGCTCCTGGCAATCTAGAGCTTGCTGTGCCCCGAGCACGTGTAGTGCTTTCCTCTCCCTCCCAGGTCTCTAAGGGACCCCTTTAAACCTTCCTTATCAGGAGGAGCGAAAGGGAAGGAGGACCGCGGGGGTGTAAGGGGTGTGGATTGGATTTTCTTTCTCCTGCCTCTCTCAGGGGAGGTGAGCTACAGGCCAGACCTCCTCAATATTCATTGTGAGCTTTGACTCCTCTGCTGAGAGGTGATGGATCAGTGGTGGGTGGATAGTTCCTGAATGAACTTAGATCTGTTTAAGGGGGACCACAAGTTGAATCTCAGGTGAGCTTCAAGGACCCTCAAAGAATGAGCTTAAGAAGGGATTCCATGGTTCAGGATTGTTACCTCATGTGGGGATTAATCTGTTTGGTGGTCTGAAAAGTAAAATTGAATCTGGAGCTTGTAGGAGATCGGTGTTTTCCATCAGCAGCAGTCTTTAAAAAATAGCCAAATTTAATTTCAAAAAAGATTGATTTAGTAAAAATAAATGTTTTTAATAGAATAGTTGGTTTCACTTGACCCCCTCCCTTTATATTCCAGCACGGGAGTAACACTATGGAGGGGCGATCCCCTCCGATGGATACGTATTTGAGATGAACACAGAATAGTCTTGTAAGAGACATGGTAAAATTTCTTGTAGGCATCACTTGTATGTTTGGCACAATCAAGAGAACAAAAAAACACAAAGACCACAAATATTTAGAGAACAAGCAGATTATAGAGTTAAATAGGTGGTAGATAGTAAGATGCAGGTGGTAGGGACTCTGGCAAAATGCAAGGTAGGTGCACCGGCCCCAGAAAAAACACATTCCATTTTTTTTAAAGCACATTATCCAGTCCAAACAGAATATTTCAGCCAGGTATTTGGCTAGGTCCTGACCTAAAATAGTCTTCTCTCCCAAGCTATATATTCTAACTCCTTGAGGGCAAAAGCACCTATCATAACATCAGGGAATCATCGAACGTTTAAGGGCTAAACGCATAGTGTAGGCCACAGATTTTATAGTGAGGCTCAAGGTCAGAGAATGAATGGAGAAAAGGCAGATGAAGCCAAGTTAAGCACCAGCTCATAAGAGCTACTCTTAACGTTTCATTAAGATAAACTTATGATGTGGATGATTTCACCATTTTATGGCTGAGGAGGTTCAGAGAAGTGAATTAATGTTCCAAAGTCAAACAGAGTTCGAAGCTGTAGTCCATGTGCTACTGAAAACCATGCTGCAACTACTCCTATGCAGAGTTAGCCTTTCTTCAGGTTTCCTAGAAAATCACATTTTTAAAAGATTTTTATTTATTTATTTATTTGACGGAGGGAGAGAGAGAGAGAGAGAGAAGCCAAGGAGCAGCAGAGGGAGAGGGAGAAGCAGGCTCCCCACCAAGCAGGGAGCCCGATGTGGGGCTCGATCTCAGGACCCTGGAATCATGGCTCTGACTCACCAGAGGCAAACTTGCCTCAATTCCAGATGAGGCTAGAGGCGCCCAGGTGGCTCAGTTGGTTGAGTGCCAGACTCTTGCTTTCAGCTCAGGTTGTGATCCCAGGGTCCTGGGATGGAGCCCCACATCCGGCTTCCGGCTCAGTGGGGAGTCTGCTTCTCCCTCTCCTCCTTCTTCTGCCCCTCCCCCTGGTCATGCTCTCTTGCTTTCTCTCACAAATAATTATATAAATCTTAAAGAAAAAATTCCAAATGAGTTTGGTTTTTATTTGAGAGAGAGAGAGAGAGAGAGAGAGAAGAGTCTAGTGTCGAGCCTTGACAAAAGAACTAGAAATTGGGAGAAACCTCTTTTGAAAATCTTCCCACTTCAAATCCATAGAGAAAGCAAGACGACTGGTGGTGCCAGGATTGGAAGAAGCATGCACAGGGTTTCCTTTGGAGGTAATAAAAGTGTTTTGAGACTAGATAGAAGTGATGTCGCACAACATTATGAACATATTAAATGCCATTGAATTGTTCACTTTGAAGGATTAATGTTTTATGAATTGCACTTGGGGGAGAAAGAACCCTTCACCTGGAGGCAGGTGATTTCCCCAACCAGGATTTGACAGCTGTTTAGAAACCAGGAATGAGGTTTCTGACTCTCTTCTATTCCTGGCCAGCATATGCACCAACCCTCATTTGGGGTTGTTCTCAGGTGTTGCAGCACCCCACAAAGGTGACTTATCCCCAGCAGCCCTGAGTCAACCATCATTGCTCTTGCCACATCTGCTGTAAATGCAAACAGGTCTTTTTCTCCCCTATGCAACCATGCATCTGAGCCCCCCCCCCCCAAAAAAAAGGACTCTCTCACTTGCTCTTCCCCTGAAAACCTAGGGCCTGATATTTCCTAGGCTCTCAATCCATGTTCTGTGAATGAACACACGAGTTTGGGAGTTTGGAAGGTCAGGCAGCCGCTGCATGGCTGTGGCCAGGTCATGGTTTCAACCGTCTTTGGGGGAGCAGGTCACAGATCTGCATCTCTGTGGGTCAGTCTATTTTATGAGGTTGTGAGTACCTGCAGGCAGGATGCAGGGGTAGGGTAGGGTCGGAGGAGACAGCTGCATCAGAATTCAGAGGTGCTCGATGCCCTCTCCAAGGAGAAATCCTCTGTTTCCACAGAAATGAGAAGTTGTGAAGACCTTTGCTTGTAAGTTGGAGGGCAGTTAGAGTATAAAGGTCTCGATCCCCTCCTCTCTTTCAGGAAGCCTCAGGATAGAATATCTGATACTTGATAAGGAGTCAGAGACTGAGGGAGGTGGGGGCAGGAGAGGGAGCCGGTCCTCCTGAGGACTTCCCACGTACCAAGCATTGCACTGGAGGGGACCGCGTACGATATCCCTTTCAAGTAGGGACTCTTACCTGTCCCTTCCTGTGTGCAGTTGAAGGAAACGGATGCTCGGTGATGTTATGGGACTATCCCTGGGTCACCCAGGTGGTAGAACTCTTCCTCTGACACCCGAATGGGCAATGGCCTTGACTGTCTGCTGCTAGAAATGAGACTGTTGGCAATAAAACGTATTGTTTGCACTTTGAATCTGTGACTCCTGACCACTGGCGGACCAGGGAGTACGAGGGCTGACTCTGCAGGAGCCCTGGCAGGAAGGTCTCTTTCACAACAGTTTACATCACTGCTTTTATCCTGCCTGGGTGACAGGGGCCTAGCACTTTGTCCACACTATCTTTTTACAGGCTCTCTTATCAAGTCCAGCTTCTGGACTTCTGGTACCGATTCTCCTGACCCCACTTCTTTCAGAATCCATTTGGTCAGCAACAAGCTCGGGAAGCCTTTGGGGGTGTTAACTGAGACAAAGTTTTCCACAGGGTAGGGCTGCTGGGCTGTGGTTTGTTGGAGGCACCCTGGTAGATCAAAGTTGACTGTGTCAATCTGAGATCCAGTGGGATTTGTCACCGCCTGCCACCAGCCCATGGGTGGCTCAACCATCCTATGCTAACTTCATGGACTGAGTTCAGAGGCTTTTGGTATTTGATTTTGAGGACTTTTTTGTGAAATACCACTCAGCTCAACTGGGCAAGACCTGGCACCCCAAGACTCTCCAGTGTTTGTGAACTGAAATAACTTCTCTATCATCTAGTATCTCCACCAGGCCCAGATACTGTCTCCTTCAGCCTTCTTTTTTTTTTTAAGATTTTATTTATTCATGAGACACACACACACACGTGGGGGGTGGGGGGCAGAGACACAGGCAGAGGGAGAAGCAGACTCCATGCAGGGAGCCCGACATGGGACTTCATCCCGGGTTTCCAGGATCAGGCCCTGGGCTGAAGGTGGCACCAAACCGCTGAGCCACCCAGGCTGCCCTCCTTCAACCTTCTTAAAGGCTTCTTCTTCCCCACACCCTTTCAACTAAAGATGGATTCTCTACTTCCACCAGAAACATCCGTTCAACCATTTCCCTTTCCCAAATAGGATGTGTTCCTCTGCACATGGCAGAGTGCTGGGCACCCGGTTGGTCCAAGACCTTTGTTTGCCTTACTGAGATATATAAATTTATAAACAAATTTAAAGCACAGAGAATAATCTATCTCTTGCCACACACACACTTCTCCTGTCCACCAGATGCTCCAGAGGTTGGGCTATATGCCATGGTACATTTGTGTACTGCCTGGGGAGTTGTTTTTAGGTCCTGGTAGACTATGAAGCCTACGGGAGCTTTCCCCATGCTGAACATGCTGCTTGGCACACAGTATACTCAAATGCTTGCGGCATCTGTGACCCTCGAGCTCATTCAGGTCGAATTGCTTAGCGTTACTCATGCCGTAGCATGGAGCCCCTGGCTGTGGCATTTCTGAGAAGAGGTGGGCCCCCTTCTGCTGCCTCTCTCTAGTTAACTTAAGCCACTGGTGAGTCAAAGGGATAAGTGGCTCCCTGGCACCCAGTGGATTCCCACTGTACCTCAGGCACCGTGCCCGATGCAGTAGAATCTGAAGGCTGAGACCACCTCTGCCTGGGAGCCCTCACGGCTGGGGTATCCACTAAGTCATAGGCAGCTTACCAAACCCAAGGCTGAACTGGTTCTGCTCCAGTCCGTACAACTCTCCTGAGCTCTGGTCCTGGAGCTTTCCCTGTGGATTCAACAGCAAAGATCTTACCAATGGATATGCATCAGAAACCTCATGATTTATTTACGTGCTTGCTTGCAGGCCAGGAAACCTGTTTCAAGCCTCTCCCTCCCCTCACCCTGCCAGGTGCCCTACAAAGTGGAGTTGTTGGATATGGCCTAGCAGTTGGGCTGGGAAGGGCAAGATGTGTGACCTTAATATCCCTTTCCTGTTTAAATTATTGAAATGCTCCCAGAATCTCTCCATGGTGTGGAAATGACTGCTCAGTCACCCTCTGGGTTTGAATAGGGATCCCCTTCGGTGATGCTGACTCCCCTCTCTGTCCTGT